AGGCAGGGGGTGGGGGGGGGGGAAGGGTCGAGGGTTTAACGTGGGACAATCTGCAGGGCCCCTGGAGGATGGGTGAGGTGGGTTAGAGCAGTGCTGGCATGCCAGGTGGGGGGACTCACCTGAGCGCAGGATGCTGGGCTCTGTCACCTTTTTGCCATTCACATAGGTGTCAGCACCTTCGCAGGGCTCCAGGGTTACTATCACTGCAGAGAGAGTGGGACAGGGAGAGAGGGAGCAAAGGTAAGGTGGAGGTAGAGGAATAAATCCTGCATCTCCCACTCCACTGCTACAGCGGTCTCAGAAAGAGAGCTGCCCCAGCCAGCACCCCATGGGCAGAGCTGGGGGACACTGGGGTACCCACCAGCAGGACGCACACTCTGGGCAACCAGTGAGACTCAGCCAACCTCATGTTAACCAGAGCAGTCCCAAAGACTAAAAGCAGCTGGAGACTGGAACGTAAGAGGAGATCATAGCCTCCAGCATGCATCTCCAGCCTCCCCAGGTTTATCTCCCAATGCCCATTAACACCCAGGTTCCTGCTGGTTTGTGGGGTGGGCTCTGCTCTGCATCTTGGATAGGGGAATAATCTACAGTCTGCTATCCTGGCCTCCCTGATCTCCCTGGCATGCCTCACTGTGGCAGCTTCCACATGTCTCACATGAGCTTCCCTCCCAGCTAGGTGAGGCCCACAGCTTGCTCTGGAAACACGTAGAGGAAGCGATGTGGGAAAGCCACCCTGGTCCAAGGAGGGCAGGATTCCTGGCTGGGGGCAGGTGCCAGGGACACACAGACGGGCTGGTGTCCCTGGGGACAGGGAGTCCCTCCAGACAAGGAATACCTTCACCACCGGTTTTGGTGTCGCTGCGGAAAAGACAGTGCTCTTCTTTAATGAAGTGCCCACTGAGAACGATGTCCTGCCTCTTCTCCGCATCTTCCCGGCCAACCCTGCCAGGAGGAAACTCAGCTCAATCCTCCCTCAAAGCAGCCTTCCCCCCACAGCCATCCTTGGGGCTGATAGGAGGAGGCCTTCACACACAGCAGGACCAACATCACTCACAAGATTGCTAGGCAAATAAACTTGTCACACACAGCTTTGGGGATGCTCTGGTCACAGTGCCCAGCCTGGGGACAGCTGTCACTCCACTGCCCACCCAGGCAGGTCAGGTACTGAGATATGGGCTAGGCTCCCACCACTCCACAGGTCCTGGCCCTCACCTTGTTATCCCATCCTTGATGTAGTAGAGAAGACACTCGGACATGAGTGGATCCTCGTTCAGGTTGACCAAGTGGGGCGTCTGGGAGAGACAAACAAGGAGGTCACCCCAGTGCACCCCATCTGCCCGGGTACTGAGGAGTCTCCCAAGGGAGGTCGTAATTCAGCAGCACTTCAGGCTGTCCCCTGCATGCGGATGGGCTTTCCTGCCCTCTGTAGCTTCAGGACAACATACCCAGGAAGGGACCTTTCAAGAGGACTGCAAAGAATCAAGCAGCCAGGCCAAGGATAACCTGCCTCCACAGGCCTCCTTGCCTTCCTCCTCAAAGGGCTGAGCCCTTGTCCTGGACTGGGGTAGAACAGAGCTGGTTCTGCCCAATGATTTTACTTTCCAGCCAAAGCTCTTCTAATTAACTGCCTTGTCTGAAGTTAGTAGCTTATTTTTGCAGACTGCTTTTAAGCAGTGATAACATTCCATGTTTAGAGTTACTGCCAGGGACTGGTGTGCAGACCAAGGTCACTGCTAAGCTTGTGTACCACACAGAGGGGGGCAGAAAGTACAAGCTGCACCTGAGGGAGGAGCAGAGAAGATAAGTGACCCTAAGATTCACCAATGGGGTATTCCATCCCATATCCCTCATATCCAGTATAAAAACTGAAGGGTCAGGAGGGGCAACCCCTTCTGTCACCCCTTTCATGGCCCTTCTTGCTCGCTTCTGCATTGACCAGCATCCGAGGAGGACTCCATCCATTCTGCCTTTGATCCCAAGCCGTGTGTCCCTGATCCAAGTTCCCAAAACCAGCCCCTGTACCCAGTTGCCATCTGCAGCTGAGTCCAGCCTGGGGTTTTTTTCCACAGGGGCTGCTCCCTAGCTGTGGGGTGATGGTGATGTATTGTCATCAGGGGGGAGCTGGTTTCCATACTGATTTTGTATATATTTGTACATATTCTATTATCACTATTAATAGAGTTATTAAGAGTATTAAAGCCCTTTCCTTTCCTTTTTCTTTTTTCTAATCAATAAGTTTCTCTCCCTTATTCACTTTCTCTTTCCCGTCGGGGGGTTTGGGTGAGTGGGGTTAACAGAAAGCATCTGTCACAGTTCTGGGGGTGGCCCTGACCCCAGACTGCAGCAGCCCTAGGCACTCTTATCCCCTGGCTGCCTTTGAAAATTCATGTTGCAAACAGGCCCAATGTGGAGCCAAACACATCCCGTGGGAACTCCTTGACATGACCCAGTGTCTCCTGGGGCAGCACTCCACTTGCCTGCACTGCATGTCCACAAGCCCTTGCCTCACCACAGCCCCCAGCTCTGCTGTGGACAGTGTAGCTGAGATACAAACACATCCCATGCAGTGGCTTGTTTAGAATGAGAGGAACTAAAAGTGCTTGTTTTCCTCCACTGACAATATATGGACAGATGAAGCACCTAGAAAAGGAGGTCCTAGACCAGAGGTTCAACAAAACGTAGTGGAGACCTGAAGCTCTACCTTCAGGATGAATTTCGCTCCCTGGTCTCCTTCCTTCTCATCACTTTCTTACCCTGGGTCACAAACCACTTTGTTTTCAATAATAGAGAATTTTCTCCCATGGCCACAGACTTCTCTGGCTGCAGCTCGCTTGTCTCACCCCATCACAAGCTGCTGTGATTGCACCTTCGGGCAACAGGGAAAGTCCTGGGAGTATCAGCAGATGAAGTTCTGAGTTTCCCAGAAATAAGAATAGAGACCATAAGAAACATCTTATCAGCCTGCTGACACCCAGCATGCATAGGATTCCCTGCCATGACAGAGTTACAAGCCCTGCCTGATAGGAGTGATTCACTCCAAATACTGCAGGAAAGCTGAAGGTCAAGGAAAGCAGAGGCTCTTCTCCGTGGTGGCTGGCAGGAATAATTTGGCCATAAAGTTTAACCTCAGGCCCCTCTGGGCAGGCATGTAGCCCCAGGATCTGAGACTCCTTTAGAATGTATTTTTCTCTAAATCTGCAAGGTTTGCTAGTAGAAAGCAGATACCCTACCTTCCACTGAGAGCTGCAGGGGTACAAACCAGCCCTGGCTTACCAGGAAGAGAATAAGATGATCGTACCTTTTTAGGAGAGAAAACACCCAAAGTGCCTCCATCCTCCCGCATGGCCACCCCCATTTCGGCCAGCAATGCTTCCCTAAAGGAGAAAGGGAAAAAAAGAACCTATTAAAGCCCCACAAGCCCCTGGAGTTGGCACTAGACAAGTCTAGGATGGGACTTGAGCCCACAGGTTTGCCCCACAGACCACAGCTGCAGGCCTTGTTTCAGGTCTCTCCATGCCTCAGGAAGGTTTTTCAGAGCAGATCACACCCATCCAGACTAATGTGGTGGGCAATGGAGTACCCAGTGGGCAGCTAGGTATGGCTGAACTGTAGGAAACGTGCAGAGAAGGGGAGATGCCTGGGGAGCTCCACCCTGCTCCATCCCATCCCACCCCGACCCACCCACCTCTCCATCCGGATTGCTTCCGTCCTCCGCAGCTTCTCCTCCCATGTCTCATTCAGCTCTGCAATGATCTTCTCTGTTTCCTGGCGAGCGTGGTGTTAGCAGGGGGTTAGCACAGCCTACAGGCAGCACACCTGCCCGCTCTGCCAGGGCCTGCCCAGCGTGCCACAGCACAACACTGGCTGCAGCTTCAGGCTGATTTAAATGAGCTGCGGCAGCATTTCACCCACAACTTTCCATCATCCTCATCTTCGAGGAGAGAGGAATGAAGACCAGCCTCTCCATCCCCCTGCCACCAGTCCACTCGTGTATTATGCTGAGCTGGGAGCACCCATCCTGAGCCAGGACTGTCCCTCAGGGCAAAGACAGCAGTCACCCTGGGTGGAAGATGCTAGTGCCAGGTGGACTGCCACACCAAACTGTGTCCCATCCAGGAGTCCAGAGCACTGGGCAGCTCTGGGTCTGTCTGCTCCGTAGGAATACACCCATGCATCCCTTCTGTAAGCACGACCTATAATGGGCTTCCAGAAAACACCTAGCCTGCTCCACAAACCCCAGTGCATCAGCACCTCCACCCTGCTGGGTGCTGGCCTCTTACCTTCAGCCTCTCGATCGCCTCTTCGCTGCCCGGAGCAAACATGATGCGCTCGTGGAGGCTGGCGACGGAGGCGGCTCGGCTGGACAAGGCTGACAGGGAGGAAGAGGGGCTGATCCCAGCGATGGCGTTGGTCACTGTGGAGAGATTGTCATGGCGCTGACTCAGCTCTGCCCTGCTGGCATCGTTATTGTTCTCAAAGTCGGACACATCTACGGGCAGGGAAGGAGGGATGGGCCAGGGAAAGGTACACAGACAGGAAGAGAGAGAGAAAGAGAAAGATAGAAACAAGAGAAGATGTTGGGGGGGAAAAAAAAAAATAAAAGAGTGGCCTGGTGCAAAGAGAAGAAAGGCAAGAGCTGCAAGGAGAAGGCGCAGGCAGCAGCACGGTGGCACAGGCAGCAGCAGGGCAAGGGCACACACATCTCTCCCCCAGCTCAGGCAGCCCCCAGAAGCATGGGGCTGTTTTGGGAAACAAATGCTGGAACAGCTCTAGAGTATTCCTGGGCTCCTGAGGATGCTTTTTTGCAACATCAGATCCTGCAGCCATTAGGTCTGGGATCAACTGTCCTCCCCAAGAGCATGCCACTGCCCCCGTCCTCTTCTGCCACTAACACACCCTGAGTGGTTTTCCCTGCTGGGTCACCCCAGATTAGCTGGATCTGGGGGCAGAAAATGAGACAGGAAGAGAGGAGAAGCAGTGGCCCTCCACCCTACACAGGGGTCAGGGGGACGGGGCAGGAGGAGCCACGGGATCGCCTCGCTGGCAGAGCCCAAGCCCCTGGCCTGGGCAGCCCCTTGGCCAGGCAGCCAGAGAGAACTAAGTGAAGACAGGGTGGCAATAAGCCCGTTACAGGCAACTGCCTGCCCACTGGCATCCTGAGCATCAGCTGCCACCGGGCCCACAACACAGGGACTCTGGCATCAGAGATGCTCCTCCAGCCCCAGGAATGGTAAGGGCTTGGTGCTGCTGGCAGGCAGCTGGTGGGTTAGTTAAGCTTAACAAGTGCAGCGTTACTCAACCAGCCCTGTCAGCCACCATCTGGGGAAGCCAAAGCAGGAGGGGACAGGCCAGGTCCCCAGCTCCCCAGTGGGCTCACCACAGCCTGTCTGCACCACCTGGCCCAGGCGGGATAAGGTGATAGTGTTTATCCACAGACAAAACTCTCCTGGCCATCCCCACTTACCCAGCCCTCAGCAGAGCCCTGTGCCAGCCCGCCCAAGCGCCATGCCGGGCTCCAGCCCCAGTGAGCCCCAGCACCAGCAGAAGCAGCAGGAAACATGACAGCATGGAGGAAGGAGTCCTCGTGGGGATCATGCCCTTGGCACGGCACATGGGGAAGACGCTGGTCCCTCCGAGCGCTGTCCCGAGTGCAGGAGCCAACTGTGACTCTGCCAGTGTCACCTCTGCCAGCTTCCTGGGGGGCCAGCTACAGGAGCCCTTCCCCATGCTGCACAGCTGCCCCTGGGTGCAGCCTACGCCTCCCAAAAGCCACAAAGCAACAGAGTACCAGTGATGGGGAATACACACATTTGGATCCTCCCGCAGCAGGGTGGGCTAAGAGAGAGAAAGAGGGCATGGAGCCGAGGTAAGACAGAGAGAACAGAAGAAGAGTGGGTTCATCTCAGTAGGATATCTGACAGCACACAGAGGAGAGGCCACGGGTGAGTGCAGCCTCAGGAACATGTTCCTGGCACCTCTGCTGGGCACAGGATGCTGAAGACGGGAGGTGGAGGGGGAGAAGAGGAAGTCTGCTGGATGTAAAGCAGCTCCTCCTGCTGATGGGAACAGGCTGGGGGTTGCAGAGAGGTGCACAGAGGCTTGCTGCAGGCATCCCAACCACACCTTAGCAGCACCATGCTGCCACTCGGCTGGCAGAACAGGATGCAGGGCAGCTGCAGGAACAGGCAGGGGGGACTCCAGCCTGCCTCTGCCCTAAAGCACCAGGCGATACCTACTGTCAATGATGTCCCCAAGGCCCTGGGCATAGAGAAGGTCACGCAGACGTGCCACCTCGTCCTTCAGCTCCCGGATGAGCTTGTTGTTGGGGTCCTCATTGATGACAGCATTGCAGCGGATCTGCTTGGCACGGTCAGCATACCTAGGGAAGGGCAGAGCCCTAAGTGGGGTGGAGGGGCAAACACCCAGCTGCTGGGCAACCAGGAGTGTGACTGAGCCCCTCCAGCAAGCGACGCTTTAGAGGACCCCAGCACCACGGTAAATCTTCAGTCTCTTGTCTGAGGTTGCAGGGTCTCCCCACAGCAGCCCCACAGCCAGGATTGCTACAGAAGTGAGGACAGCACACGGCAGTGCTTGGGTTTCAGAGACCACCCCTGCTCTTGCTTGCTCTTGGGAGACCAGGTGCTTATTCCTACCTGAGGGTGCTGAGGGTTTCATCGTAGTTGATGTCAGCAGGACTGAGAGCAGCAACCATGGCTGTCCTGGAGTTGCCCCCTGCCCGGAGAGATACACCCACATCAGGCAGACACTGGCCCACGTGCCAGCTGTGACTCTCCACTCAGCAGCCAGGCCTGCTGCCGAGCCCACACCTCCCACCCGTGTCCTCACCCAGGTTCTCCCGCAACAGCCAGGTCAGCACCGAGTCCCGGTAAGGGATGAAATCTGTCTTCTTCTTCTTTTTGTTCTGGGGGATGGAGATCAGAAGGAAGGGCTGTCAGGCTGCCTGCCCTCTTCAAGGTGAAAGTGACTCTCCAAGAGTGACTCAGAGAAAGGTGGCTCTGCCCGGCCATCATGACCTTGGGCACCTCTGCTCAGCTCCACAGGTCCTGCCTGTGAAATATCCCTCCTGGGCTGTGGGGCATGTGGTACCAATAGCCACAGGGTGAGGAGGGCAGTGAGGATGCTGAGGGCTTCGCCAGTCCCCAGGAGATGCATAGCTTGGGTCCAGGCAGAGCCTCATTCCCAAACGCCCTGTGATCCACTCCCACCCAACTGTGCTAAAAACCAGCCCTCCACTTCCCCAGCCCTGCCAGCACACCTACCTTGTTTGGACCCGAATCCTGCAAAGAAAGTGGAGAGACTGTTTAAGTGAGCTGCTCCCTCCTCGTCACCCACCAGCCCAGCTCATCCCAACTCTCAGAGAACTTAGGATGTATTTGCCCATCCTTCAGAGCTGGGATCCTCCAGCCCTCAGAGGACTGAGGATGAGCCCATCCCTGCAGATTTGAGTCCATTTCCCCACAGGGCCACCACTGGTCTGCACTCTGGCTACCTACCATTTCAGCCAAGGCAGAGATGACTTTCCCCAGGGTGGTCAAGGACTTGTTGATGTTTGCTCCTTCCTGGTGGAGAGAGGAAAAGCCCAGATTCTCAAATTCTTATTGCTCATTCTCAGCAATGCCCAGTGTACAAGGAGGATGGAGAAGTCCCCGTAGGAAGTGGGCAAAGAGCAGCTGGTACCAGCTAGGACTCATGGACTGGCTCTGGGTAGCTTTCAAACAAAACCTTCTCAAGGATTTTGGCATCATAGGGGGCAAGAAACCATGCAGGAAAGTGCCAGCTCTCACCTTTAGTCTTGTGCCCTTTGCACCAGTGGAGTCAGCTCGCTCACTCCCTGCCAGGTCCACCAAGCTGATTTTGCTGACCTGCAGGCAGAGACAAGGCTGTCACCCCCAGCAGGCACAGCAAGCCGGGCCCTGATGCAGAGCCAAGGAGACAACAAAGACCTCTTGCAAGGTGACACTGCTGTGAAGGCAGAGGTGGGCTCTGTGGGGTCATCCTTGCTGGGATCTGGCCAGGAGCAAGGCTAACACCCTTGCAGGCAGGGCTGGAAGGCACCAGCTACCAAATATCCTGCCCAGGGGCCAATCTCTTGAGGAACTGAGCCCGGAGTGTGCCTGGGACTTATCCCCATCCAGTTTCAACCCTCCATCAGGCTGCACCATCTCATTCCACGTGCTGTGGACAGCACATGAAGCCCTCCCCAGGTCCACACGGGTCCCCTTGAGCCCCCCAGGCTCTGCTCTCACCTTCTCAGTGGTGATGTCCGTCTCCGCGTCGTGCCGCTTCTGGGTGAAGATGATGTTGAACACGGCGTGGGAGCGGCTGCTGGTCTCATTCATGTTGGTGGCAGCCACTGTGCTGTGGGAAGAGGAGGACAGGGAGGTATGACACTTTGCAGGGGACACTGGAGTGGCTGGTGATGGGGCCAGGAATCGTTTCAGGACAGGGTACAGGATGGGAAGGCAAGTCTGAAGGACAGAAGAGGAGTCGGGGAGGAAACGTGTAGAAGCCTAGGCTCTCTCCTGCTGGTTCCAGGGCATCATGAGGGGAGGAAAGAGGTAAGGTCAAAATAAATGGGAGGTACTCAATGCTCAGATAAGAGTCTGCCACCTCCAGAGAGGCAAAGCAAGGAAGTTAGGCAGGACCTTACAGAGGTGTCTGCAAGCTTTCCCCTGCTCCCCCAACTCACCGGGCCTTGTTCCCAGAGTCCATGAGGTCCTGGATGTCATTGTAGGAAGTCACAGCCAGCTTGGAAAGGTCCTCAACATACGGGCCCATAAGGGGATGCTCCCTCACCCGCAGGTTCCCCTTGTTCTTGGGGTTCAGGAGGTCCCTCACACGCTCACAGTATATCTCCATGTAGCTCACCTAGAGCAGAGGGCACAGGCAGGGCAATTGGCCAGCAGGATGTGAAGGCTCAGCACATCAGCATAATCAGGTCCTGCCTGTCCACATCACCTCACACCCAGGGATGAAGCCCCCCCAAAGAGGGGTCTGCACACCAGCATGGGTGGGAGGCTGGGGCCAGACTAGGTAGGCAATGGGGTGCCTACCTCCACAGAGTAGGACATGTTGTCATTCGTCGTGTCGTTGATGCGGGAGAAGAGATCCTCACAGAGCTGTGGAGAGAAAAGCCAGGCTACTCAGCCCCCTCTACAAGGGTGCTCCTGCCCAGGGTGCCCAGGCCACAGGGGCTTCTACCTTATCACCCCCCAAAACAGAGCCCCTTAGTGCTGGGATGGCTCCTGAGAACCTGGCACAACCTCCCCTGCTGATATGGGAGGCTCAGCACACCCAAACCCCTGCCCCTCCCCAGCACACTGCTGCATGGGGCAGATCTCAGCAAGTATGGCGAGCAGCAGCTCGGGGCTTGGACTACTGCTGCTCACAAACACTGGCCTTGTGTGGCCAGACTGTAATTCGTCCAGTCTTGGAGGAATCCAGCATAACTCTCCTTGTCACCCTGCCCTCCAGCAGAGCCATGCTGGCTCACTGCCATGGCAGGGCTGCAGTGGACCTCAGCAAACTCTGGCCCTGCTCCTGCCCTGCTCCCCTCTTCCCTTCTAGCTCCACTTCTCCTTTGGGCATCCCGATGGGAGGCAGGGAACAAGCAGCTTTTCATCAGGTGGTACCTGTGGGATGATGCCTTGCTGGTCCTTCTCCTGTTTCCCCATCATGGTGTAGGATTTTCCAGCACCTGTCTGCCCGTAGGCGAAGATGCAGACATTATAGCCTTCAAAGGCATGCTGCAACATCTCCTCACCAATGTCCTGGTATACTTGCTTCTGAGATGCATAGTTAATGTCTGAGGGCTGCAGAGAGGGAAGGGGACAAGAAGAAATTAGGCAAGGAGGTCTTCCTGCTTGTCCCTGGCCCAGCCCAGTACTCCAGGCAGGCTGAGGCCTCCCCATCACTTACCGTGGTGTGGGACCAGTAGGAATAGTCAAAGCTGAAGCTTTTTGGTGTCTCTTTGGGCTGCTTCGGGTTCAGGATTGCTAAGGGAAACAGATGGGAACATGAGGCCACCTGTGGCACCCCCACCACCCACCCACATCCCACTTCTGAGAGAAGGGTGATGGGGTTCAGTCCAAAATGGTCCTGCAAAGTGGGACCCTTCAGCTCCACAGATGGGTCCAGAGCCCCCAGACCCCAAAGTCCCACAAGAGGACGTGGGTGCCGTGGCCAGCAGAGCCTGCACCAGTCCAGGGAGCAGGGCAGAGCCCTGCCCAAGCATCCTGCTGGGCATGGCGTGGGGGAAATGGCTCCTTCCCTTGGGCTCCTTCCTGCTTCAGCATCATCCTGTGGGAGCCCAGCACTGGCACCAGTGTGGGCGGATCACATACTTCCGTTACCCCACAGCTGGGAGGACATGCCCAAAGCCACACAGGTTGGCACAGTGGGGTGGGAGTGGCCACAGCCCCACCTGGGCTCACCCAGGCCCTCTCCAGCTCCTTCTCCAGCCTCTTGTCCCTTGTGCTTCCTTCACGGTACCCAGCCCCAGCGAGGTGATTAATGCTTCATGTTACACCGCCAGCAGAAACAAGAGGCTGCTTTTTGCCATCCTCTGGTGAAGAGGACGTTGCCATGGAATTCTGAGACTGCATCACTTCTCTTCCTCAGTCACCACTTTCACCCCCACTCCCTTAGAGCGTTTATGGCAGGGTTTTTTTCTGAAACACCAGATTTATCAGAAGAAACCCAAACCGGTGGCGTAATCACAAGATCCAGCCATCAGCCACGTTAGGCAACATTGAAACGACCTTGCAGGCTGGTGCAGCACAGCTCCTGAGCCCACAGCTGCTCCCTGGCACTGCCCAGGATGAGGAGGCCATACACCAAGGGCAACCGAGCTCCCCTGTTGCAGACCCAAACCTGTCCTGCTCCAGAGCCAGCGCTCGGCCAGCATCCGAGCTGGGACCTTCCCAAGCAGCCCCAGGCATGGCACAGACTGCTGCCCGTGGGCCCAGATGTTCCAGTGTGTGGCCTTACATATATAGATGCTTTCTGCTTCAAAATCCTCCTCCACTGCTATGATGGATTCTCCCCTGGGAGGGATCCACCACTTCTGGCCCGAGATATCTATCCCTGCCTACAAAGGCAGTGAGGCAGGAAGGTGGAAGGTGGGAAGTGGGGTCAGGATCCAGCCCCAGCTGCAAAACCACAGCACAGTGCTGCTCAGATGCCCCTCGCTGTGGGCAGGAGTCCAGCTCCAGCACCACAGAGGAGCTGGGCACTGGCTCCCTTCCTGCCTGCCCACTGGAGGCAGCATGACTCAGATGCTCTGGATGCCTCCTGCATCCAGGGCAGACTAATTACTAAAGCCAGAGCTGATCTCTCAGGAGAAAGGGCTGGGAAGTGACATCTCTATAGCAGCTGCAAATGGGGACATGAAAGTCCCTGCTGTGATCCAGACTGAAAAGGCACCAGGCCTTTCTGGGCAACATAGGCAGCCACAGGAGCTGCCCACCTCTGGTGGCACCTGGTTGGTGTGTTGGGGGCATGTGAGTTGCTCTTGCAGAGAAACACATGCAGGGGCAATGCAAGAAGTCAGGTGGAGCATTTCTGATGGTTCACCTGGCAGTTCTGCCATGCCATGCAGATCCCTGGCTCAGGCCTCTCTCTACCCTGTAGAGGTGACCCTCACCAGAGTGAATGGGAGCATCATCCCCCCAAAAATGAGTCCAGTAAGAGCAAAACCAGGAGTGGGCAGGATGGGGCTGCACAAGGTGGCTGTTCTGCATCCCAGTGCCAGCCTGTGCTGGGCATGGGGCAGAGGAACAGCTGGGGATGACACCAAGTGGCTCTGGACATCCCAGCTGCAGCCACCCAGCTGGCCCAGCAGGCTGGAGACCAGGGCACAGGGAGCACTCCAGGAGCAGCAGGTCTCCCAGCCCCAAGCTGAAACATTCTCCCCATGCCCTTTTCATGCCCAGTGATTTGCTCCCATATGACTGGATGCCACGGGTGGGGTTTTTTCCTCTCCTGTGACCAAGCACGCCAGGGTTTTTGCAAAGCTGCTGAAAAAGACTCGTGCTCTGGCCAAAGAGGATTAAAAAAGAAAAGGGGGGGGTGGGGAGGCAGGGGGGTGGGGCAGACTGGCAAACAGACAAGAGGGGGAGGAAAAACACACGGTGATGACCCTCAACTTTGCCTTGAAGAGCTAGCAGCATGGCAGAGCATAGCAAGTGGGCAAGCACCGAGCAGAATAAAACCCTAGGCCAGAGGAGAGAAAATAATCACTGTAATAATCACAGAGGCACAGCTTCGGCTGGAGAATATTAATAGCTTTGTGGAATGAAAGCCATAGTCCCTTCCTCACCATCCTGGCAGGAGCTGCCAGGAGAGGGGCCAGGGGTGCTGGTGCCAGGGGCAGTCCCCATGGAGGGGGTGATGCCACGGGAACAAAGCAACAGTGTTGGCAGCAGGCAGGAGGACGGCCATGGCAAAGTGAGCTGAGGGGGTGGCAGCTGTTAGTTTGAGGGGAAAAGGATGGCAGAGAAGGACTAACCCTTTCTCACCCTGGTCCTCAGCCCCTGCTGCCTGCCAGGGGGCTCAATGGACTAGGCAGAAAAACAACCT